GCGCACTTGTTTCGTACAAAACGCGGCCCCAACAATAGCACGAAACAAGCCTCGTGAAGCTGCACCTCGCAGTTCAACACGCCGGTCTGACCCGTTGGCGAACCCTCTACGCTGCGCTGGCTCCTACTGCGCTTGCAGGCCTGTACTTTGCCTGCCTAGGGCCTGTCGCAACGCGTGGCAAACACTGCGTCAACCTGGCACGGCCGGCGGTAACTCCAACCTGCTAGCAACACACCTACAAAGCGCGCAAGTCGCGCCCTCCATGTCTGCCTGCTCTGCCTCGCCAGCCTGGTCTTGTTCCTGCTGCCGCCGCTTCGCCTCCTCCTTGTTCTGCTGCTTGGCAACGGCCAGCAGCTGCAAGTCGGCAGCAGGAGGCTCCACGCGCTGATCCGTGACCTCAAGAGTCAACCCGCACATGCCGCTCATCAGCCACAAGCTGCGCGCTCTCAGCCGAACGCGCGCGGCGCAGTGGGCCAGCTCTGCGGGGCGGTCCGCAAACGTGCCGCAGAAGCGCGCGTGGGCAGGCAGCTTGGCCTTCAGCATCCAATCGCCGCCGCGCGACTGCCTCACAGAGGGCAGCAGCTGTCGCACGGCCTCGGGCGTGAGTTTTGCGTCGAAGACGCGCTTCTCGGCCCGCTCCCAGAAGAGCCTCGCAAAGCTCGCGCTGGGGCGCTGGCCCTCGGAAAAGGCCCTGCGTGGGCTCTCACGAAATTTCCAGCGAAGCTTCGCTGTGCCAAACCAACGGCTCCAGGGTCAAGAGCTTGCCCCCCTTAGCATTGGAGCGCACGTCGCCCAAGCGCCACATGCTCTTCTGGCCTGGTGTCATCGTCCTTTTCAAAAAAAGGCTTGAGCCGTGCCGTCGCCTTTGCGTGCTTCGTCGTGGTGATGTTGATCATTCAAAAAAGAGATGCCGAGACTGCTGGAGCTGTTTTGCGGCACGAAGTCGATTGGCCAAGCCTTCGAGGCAGCGGGCTGGGAAGTCGTCTCCCTGAGTCGAAGTTTGAGCCCACGACCCTGTGCGACATCCGGAGCTGGGACTACACGCTGTTTCCGCCTGGGCACTTCGACGTGGTCTGGGCCTGCGTGGAATACAGCCGAGCGCGCCCGCGGCGGCTCATGTGGGTCATCGAGCTGCCGCCGGGCTGCTGAAGACCCGGCCGAACACGTCCGTCATCGTACCGTCGAGTTGCTTGAGAGACAGGTGCTTTTGGGTGCCTGCCGAGCTTGTCATTCTTGTCACCGGTATGTCACCGCTTGTCACCGGCACTTGTGGGTGGAAAAACGCAGCCTGCCGAGCTTGTCATTGTTGTCACCGGTATGTCACCCTTTCTGCGACAGCCGGTTTTGCACGGTTTCGGCACGGTTTTTCGGCACGCGTCGTTTTGTCGCCGCCGGGATTCGAGCCCCCGCAGAGACCGGGCTGGTCCACTGAGCCAATGGAGCTTTTGGGTGCTTTTGGGTGCCAGGGGCAGCCTGCGGAGCTTGTCACCGTTTCTGCGACATGTCACCCTTTCAGTGACAGCCGGTTTTGCAGGGTTTCGGCACGTACGAGGTTTTCCGCAGGGGAGCGTTCGTGACCTTCTGGGACGCGGGCTCGAAGCCACTTGCTGGCCGAGGTAGGAAGACAACCTCCTCGAGTCGCAGACGCAGCTGGGCAGCCTGCAGTGCCCGCACAACCCCATGAAGGGAGCCTCGGAGCACTTCCACTTCCTCTCGGTCCTTGCGGGGACGTACGACGACACGGCGCGCAACATCGACCGTGCGGGCTACCTGCGCCACAGCTTCATTGCGGGCTTCCCGACCGAGCGCGTGCCCAAGATGCCCCTGAGCGTTCACCTTATGGTGGCCCTTCCTTGCCATTCGGGGAGGTCGTTCGCTTCTGCTGGTCAACATTGGGCGAGCAGTTGGTCATTGTGTGTGGTTTTTGATTCCCCCAGCCCCGGAAATGTTGTCTGTGGGACTGCCCTGATCACATCCACAGAACCAGCAAATGCCAAGATTGCGTTTGCGCAGATTGCGTTTCCGCAGATTGCAGCGCGTCCTGTTCTCGTAGGCTTAAGCTGGCTGCATTGTTGGCAGACTCGGTGTGGAGCCGCATGAACGGATGGTTGCCTTTTCTTGCCAAGACTGTTCGCTTTTGTCGGCCGACATTGATTCAGAGATGCTGTTGTGGTCGTTGTAAGTGGTGTTTGATTTCCCTCCAACCAACTTTTAAGAGCAAAGCTTGCCCCTTTGCCATTAAAGCAAACTCTCACGCTGCGCAGAATCAGGGAATGCGAAGGTTCGGCGTTTGTTTCGATGGGTGCCGCCCGGATCGTTGAACTCAACCACGCATCCCGTGGACTGTTTTTTTTGCTCCATTCCTTGCCATTCTAGAGCTTGTTTTTTTGCCCTGCCTGCCGCTTTCCAGTCCAATCCCAGGCTGCTTGATTGTTGAGTTTCGCATTGGCTGCCATTCCTTCTTGTTTATTCCACGAACGCATGTCTGACTTGCCATGAAAGCTTAGTCTCGCTGTCCGCTTTCTAGCCCAAAGTTCACCGCGATGATTTCGAAGTTCATCGTTTTGCCAGGAAGTTCATCGGTCCGCGATGACTTTCGAGAAGTCTCGGCAATTCCTTCATCGGCTTGGTTTCCGTGGTTTTGCGGCTTTCCCGAGTGGCTCCGCGTCTTCCTGGCAGTCGAAGGCCAAGAAGCACACGGCGCGGTGCTCCTTCAGCGCCGGGTCATAGCTGTCCACGAGGTCGCCCTGCAAGCACGCGCATCGGGGCGTTGCGCCGCACGCAGAACTCGCGCACCTCCTTGCCGGAGAAGGCGCCGCCAGTTGTCTGCAGCAGCTCAGCCAGCTGCCGGGGCACGCACAGGGGCCTGTCCTTGAAGGCGCTTTTTTTAGTGGGTGGCTCAAGTGACTCAGGTAACTCATTCCTGTCCCAGCCGTCCCAGTTGTCCCGACCTTCGGCCCGGCTGCACGTTTGAGGGCTCAAAGCGCCTCCACTCCCCGATCGGAGAGTCTCTGGCCAGGAAGCACACAGTGCGGCGCGTTGCGCCACACGCAGAACTCCCGCACCTCCTCAAAGGCCTTCGTACCTTGTCACCACACCAGCCACTACGCCTGGCGACAGAAACTTCTTTGAAAATGCTGGTCCTAGGACCATCCAACATGGACTGGTGCTGATGCCAGAGCAGCCTGGGATGGCTCTGTGCGTCGATGTGAAAGAGGTCGGACTGGCTTGAACCCTTCCTGGCGCACACACACACACACAACCCTTGAGAAGGATAGCCGCGTTGGATTTTGGGATCCTTGCTCCTCTTCATGTTTGCAGCGGACAAGGTGGACACACGTCGTCTAGAAGTCCAGCGTTTCTTGCCACTCACGCGGTTCTCGGGAAAAGTGTCCTCTTGCAACTGCACATCGGGCCGCGCTGTGACTTGTCCGTTGTGCGTGAAACGAAGCAAGAACCACGCTAGCGAGACTCAGGGGCCGTTCTGATTGTGATGGATGATGAACCAACTGCAGGGCTTACTGATGTGTCAACCTTCACCAACTCATCAATGCAATTCTGAGTGGTGCAGGGCCCTTTGCGAACGACAAATGTCAGTATGTGTGGCAGGTGGGCCTTCGGCGTTGTTTGTCTGTTGGTTGACCGCAGCTTTCCCGCCAACTTTTCGTGGAATGGCCTCGGAAAAACGGAAGGCGAAACCTAAACATGCAAACGAGACAAATTTGAGACATGATTTTTCATGATTACGCCCTGTACATGGGTTTGTTATGTATAGGGCGAAGTTCGTGCAATCGACCCGATGTATACACGTGCACTTTGTTGTCCAGAAACCTATCCACGACTGCAGGTGGTGTATGTGTAAGAAGTGCATGGTTGGGTTGTTTTCATGATTTTTGAAGCGCTACACGAACTGGAGGGACACGAGGTACGTCTCGTTGCCTGGTTCATGAGCAGCCGTCTACTGCATTGCAGGCGGCTCAGCGACCAAAACTTGCAAGCTTCCAACTGTTGAGGGACTGAAAGGAGTGCAACGTGTCTGCAAGTTTGATTGGGCTGATCTCGTTTGGCGTGCTGGAGCCATGGCGGTGTAGTTGGCCATGAGTTTCGGAGTCTATCGGCCCCAAATGGGGGTCGCCTCCGGCATGCGGGTGCTCAGCAGTGATCAGTCATTGCAGGATTGGGGGAGGGGTTTGGGGTTTGACTTGGTGTAGGCGGCTGAGTAGCGGGGGGGGTTGTGGGGATTTGGCTTTTAATGGATTTGGGTTGGGCTGGGGTCCGCATATCGAATGCCAGGAGCAGCGCCGCTTTGCCGAAGCCCATGGGCGCCAGGATCGCGATGTGCAGTTGAGGTTGGTCGGATTTATTGGGAGCTTCTAGAAGAACGAATAGCTGCACATGTACACCTCACCGTACATACACATATATATATATATATATATATATATATGTATATACAGTGTCTGATCTATGGCTTACTGGTCACTGCATGCTAGGGGTCGATCAACCCCATCACCGGGGAGCCTGTCAACGGCGCTATCGTGGAAGCGCCCAGGGTGAGACGGCCTCCTTCAGGACTTGGCAGTGCCCTGCACTGCCATTCTCCCACTTTGAAGCATCACAGTTGGGCACAAGCAGTCAATCCAGTTGCGAAAAAACAGGGTCCTCCAAATCCCCCAACCCTCTTGATACCCCAAAATCCAGTGCTGGCACAAGCTATTTTGGCTAGGACCATTTTCAGAACACGCACTTGGGGGTTTATCGTGACGCCATTTCGCTCTGTATGGCTCAAGCCCGGGGCGTGTTGACCCCGGTGAGTTCAACGGAAGCAGTTTGCGGCACGTTTTTTTTGGTAACAAGTTTGGGAAGTGCCAACTTAGTCAGGATATCTATTCGAGAGGTGTTAACAGTGCTTAGAGTACCGTCGATGAATCGATACAAGGCGGGAAGGGGAGTATCTGGCATAAGCAGAAAACTGGGCAATATTTTTCCATGCTGGCCAGGTATTCAAGACACTGGGAGATGGGCCGCGATCTCGGGTGCTCTATTCTGTTTGCAGAATGTCTCCGGAGTGGGCTGATGCAGATGATTTCAGGGCACGACTTTTTCCAAGGACGTATGGCTCAGTGCTGAAGGCACAAAACAAGCAGACCAATGAGATGGTCGCGTCCTCGGGGTCGTGAAAATGGGCTCCAACTCACCCCGTAGGCGTGGGATCCGCGATTGCGATCCGTCAGGTGGCAATTAAAAAGATGAAGCAGAAGTACTACAGCTTGGCCCTCAGATGACCGGTTTGTCTGACAGCAAGCGCCTGCAAGGAGTTGACAGTACTAGTGAGGATGTTGGCAGTGTTATGCGATGTGGGAACAAGGTGTTGGAATGGCGTGCAATACTCGTGGCGAGCTGGAATAAAGGAGCTCACCCACTCCTTCCCTGGATCAGTCCGAAGTGGCGAGTGGTGAACTTGAGTAATTGCCGAAATGTTTTGATAGGTAGTTGTTACAAGCAGCAGTGGGTTTTTCTAAAACGCATTTTTTAGCCACTGCGTCTTTGTTTGTTTGTTCGGGTGGTTGTTTTTCTGTTCGTTTGTCAGTTTCTTTTCGTTTTGGTTTATCTTTCCGCGCCACCTGGTGAGTGAGGTTGGGAGGAGTGCATGAAGCTTCGTGAGATCGCATCTTTGCGGAAGCTCGGGTCTCGGTTTGGCCGTGTTTAATGGGGTCGAACCCTTGACGATTGCTTTGCCAGCTTGCCTTCAGAACAAGTCTTAAGGACCCACAAACCAGTCACCGTGCGCGCATAGTTGTGGCCCATTCCTGGAACTGGGGCGTTGGCGCGCCTGGCATGCCACGTGGCTCTGCTGAAACGCAACTGCACTTAACGTATACCAGGGTTTTCTTGAAGAGGAAACTGACCTTCCAGGTACCCTCCCACAAGTGCTATGTTTGTTCGAGGAGGGGTAGATGCACTCTCCAACGTGTCAGATAGTTTCCCACCTAGAAATCCCCCTTTTGTCGGACCAACAGGGGCAGCTTTCGCCTCAGAAACGGCAGCATCGATGGTTGCCCAGGCTGATCCACCCCAACATTGTGAAGCTCAAGGAGGTCACTTGCGTCGCTGTTGGAACCCGATCGAGACTTAATGACTCTGCCCCTTTCATTTTTTTTCTAAATAAAAAAAAAGACTGAATAACACAAAAACAAATAAAAATATATAATTATATACATATATATATATACATATAAAAAACAAATCCGTTTTTGAGGGTACTGTTTTGGGGTTGGGTTAGAGGAAGGCCACAGGGAAACCAACCATTTTGCGGGTTCTGCGACCATGAGACAAGCCCATATTCTCCCTGATGCATTGGATATTCTAAATAGAATGTTTTTCAACAGAATTGCAAAGTACTGTATAGAGAGACAAACATTTGATAAAATAACCCCAGGGCTTTTCAAAATAGAATGGGAAGGTGATGAAAAGACCTCGCTTGGATGAGATGTCCTCCGGGACAAAGCGCAGGTGATCCGAGAGAACGATGAGCTGCATTTGGTTTTTGAGTTCATGGAGGCCGGGGCCAAAGGTAGGATGGCATGCGCGTGGTATGTGAGTGAGTGAGTGAGTGAGGGAGGGTGAGGGAGGGAGTGAGTGAGTGAGGGAGGGAGGGAGGGAGTGAGTGAGTGAGGGAGGGAGGGAGGGAGTGAGGGAGTGAGTGAGTGAGGGAGGGAGTGAGCGAGTGAGGGAGGGAGTGAGTGAGGGAGGGAGGGAGTGAGGGAGTGAGTGAGTGAGGGAGTGAGGGAGGGAGTGAGTGAGTGAGTGAGGTGAGGGAGGGAGGGAGGGAGTGAGTGAGTGAGGGAGGGAGGGGAGTGAGAGTGAGAGTGAGGGTGAGTGAGTGAGGGAGGGAGTGAGCGAGTGAGGGAGGGAGTGAGTGAGGGAGGGAGGGAGTGAGGGAGTGAGTGAGTGAGGGAGTGAGGGAGGGAGTGAGTGAGTGAGTGAGGGAGGGAGGGAGGGAGTGAGTGAGTGAGGGAGGGAGTGAGTGAGTGAGTGAGTGAGTGAGGGAGTGAGGGGGGGAGGGAGTGAGTGAGTGCGTGAGGGAGGGAGTGAGTGAGGGAGTGAGTGAGGGAGGGAGTGAGAGTGAGTGAGTGCGTGGGTGAGTGGGTGGGTGGGTGGGTGGGTGCGTGCGCGGGTTTGGGCGCCCGCCTGTGGTCTGGATTGATGGGGATTGAAGCCCTTGTCCCACCAATCCAGGAATTGGACCGCAGATTTTAGTCCATGTTTTCATTTACCAGGGTTGTATTTTGGGTACCTATTTTTGACCCCACACACAAATGGGGCAAGCTGATACTGCGCAGGCCAACCTCTATGAGTTCATGAAGTCCCGGGCCCGCTCCTCATGCCGAGAGAGTCACCGAAGCCGACAAAAAGCCGCGCTCAGGTGCGCGCAATACCCGAGAGCAAGGTTCGAAATATCATGTTTCAGACCATGCAGGCCGGATCGCCTCAAGTCTTGCCATGAGAGCATGTTTTTTTGCTCATGCCGTTTTTTTCACAGACGGGGAGACGGGAAAAGAAAAACGTTGGGCGGCCACTCGTGTCAGGCCATGAACCATGTACACAAGCACGGCTATTTTCACCGGGACATGAAGCCCGAAAACCTATTGGTCGCTGCCTCGGCGCTTTCGGCTTGCGAGCGGAGCGGTTTGTCTCAGAATGGGGATTCGATCGGAGCTGTTTTGGGGGGTTTCCTTTCACTTTCCAAAAAGGTGCCACCAATTGCCATGAAACCTGACAGCCTTAAGGGACCCCTGTCAGGTTCCATGTGAATTTGTCTGAGGTTACGAGTTAACCCCGGATTAATAAACCCCTGGTTGATTCATAGGGGGTGTTGCCTTTAAGTGGGAATTCAGACCACTTTTGGAGGGAACACCCCCTTAGTATTGGGACGCGCTTATCAATCCTGGGTCAACATTGGGCAACGAGACGTTGAGGTCAGTGGCGAGACGGTGAAGCTAGCCGACTTCGGCCTGGCGCGAGAGATTCGAGCGCATGGCCCTCGGGTTCATGAAACCGCCATGGCCAGTGGAACGAAGGCACCCGTGAAGTTTTTGTTGTTGTTTTTTTCCTTGGGAGGTTCGAAAAATGGCTCATTTAGACGCCAAGGTTTTGGCAAAATTAGTTCGGCTTTGCTTGCAGAGCCCAGGATGTCTGTCTCCTTGTAGGCGATCCCAGCGTGTGCAAAAAACAACTCAAGAACACGTGGATGGATCTTTTGAAGCCAACAGCTGAAAAAAGCCACTAATTTCAGCGACACCCGTGGGTCCGCTTTCGCCTTCCCACTAAGGCGACCGCCTTTCACAGACTATGTGTCCACACGCTGGTATCGGGCGCCTGAGGCACACGAGCTTTGTCCATCCACGCAATTTCGGAATTACACTGAGGTGCTGCTGAGAAGTTCCATCTACAACTCGCCTTTAGATATTTGGGTCTCCAGCTCAGTGCAGCTTCGTAGTGTTTTGCCAGGGCCAAAGGCAAATGCTGGGGTCTCATGTTGGTTGCCGCTGGAAGCTGCGAGGCTTGTGGCGGTATCATGGCTGAGCTTTACACCCTCAGGCGTGGAACCTTGTATTTTTCCCTCCGATGCCCCACCGCCTTGCCAGTCCCAAGATCGTGACAAGCACTTTCAGATCAGTGTATCTCATGTCTGTGTCCACGGCTGGCCTTTGGTGTGACGGATCTTTTGAAGGGCCGCCCGCGACACACTGACGCAGGCCCCTTTTTCCAGGCGCATCTGAGAGCGACCAGCCCGGACGCCTCAGTGTTGGAAAGATGCGAGTGAAGCGTTTGATACATGTTGGTACCTGTGGAGTTGCATCATGCCTGCGCTCAAGGCTCTACAAGATTTGCTCTGTTCTTGGCACACCCACCACGGCCTGGCCCCTGGCCCGAGAGCACCGTTGGAGCTCATGCGGCCCTGCATGATCCACATGTTCTTCGATGTCCTTGAAACACCTTTCAAGTTGCCCATTGTGTTTACATCTTGGGTATCCCTGAGGATGGCTTTCATTGGAACCGACGGATGGCTGCGGGTCAAAACCAATGGGATCCCATTTTGGTTGGTAGGTGAATTCACCACCCGTTCTAGAACCTATCTTGGTTGGATTGGTTGATGTTTACTGGGGGCTAACCGATTTGGATTTTGAAAAGCCCATGGCCAGCTCCGAGGGTCTTCACTCCGGTCTTCAATCCGGCGAGGTCAGCTGGCCCGAGGGCTTCAAGCTCGCAGCCCAGATGGGCTACAAGTTCCCCCAGCCGCGGCCTCGAACAAAATCGGGCCCGTGGCCCGTGAGTTTCACGGGAGCCCTGAAAAAGTGGTTGGTGGACACCCCACCGAATTTTTTGAGGTCCGCCAGGGGTTCATACTTTGATGCTTCGTACTTTTATGAGCCTCATGTACCAAACATGGTTTGGGGAGCTCACTTGGTGGCTCGGGCGCTGGTAACTTTTGGACTTTGCGCACATAATGTTTGCACAGTTGGACATTGGAGTTGGACATCAGTGCACACCTACTTGGCTTCCGGTTTCCTGTTGGTTTCCATCAAAGGGGTCCAATCTCGCGAGAGAGAGAGAGAGACGGCCAGTTTTCATCCTCCGATTTTGGGACGCTGAGGTTTGTTCCTACGAGGCTAGAGACGCTCGTCCCTCAAGCCAATGCGGAGGGCATTCAGCTCATGCAGGCAAGACAAGTGGACATGTGAGCAGCACCAGCCCGTCTTGGTCATCTTTGGTTCCGTTCCTACCTATCTTACCAGAAATCAGCCGGGATTTCGGGCACGGCATGTTGTCGGCTTGTCCTTGAAAAATGTGGCACATCCTACTGTTGAAATTAGAAACCATTTTTTTTGTTTTTTACAGGGGAGCCATCGTTCTAGGGATTTTTAGGTGGTGCAGGATTTCGTCCATCCACAGTATGAGCAGCGTCTGTTGGACGCGGCATGCGAGCAGAAAATTGCCAGGCCATGATGCAGTGGGATCCCAATAGGCGGCACTCTGCGACCAAGATCCTGCACCATCCCTACTTCGAGGCGGCCTCTCCGACTGCGAAAACGGGCAAAGGATATGGCCATGGGGCATAGCCAGTGGCTCCATTTTGGGGTGGATGAACATCCATGTGCCACCTATTTTGATGTTCACCAGGGGTACAGGGTTTTGACACACAGCCATATATATATATATATCTCTCTCTCTCTCTCTCTCTCTGTCTCTCTCTCTCTCTCTCTCTCTCTCTCTGTCTCTCTCTCCCTCCGTCGCTTTATTTTGAGGGTACCATTGTATCAAGAGGCTATTTCGACTCGTGCCATGTGCTTGTCTCTTTCATGGATCCATTTGGCGTGTATGGACGCATCCCCGTGTTTGCCCTTCCAGGTTGCTGATCGAGGGCTTCGTTTGTTCTTCGCTTTGTTCAGAATGTGAGTCGGGCTGCGCATGAGCGGCGCGCCCGCATCGCAGGCTGATGCGCTGAATGAGACCGCTCTGTGCCAAGGGCGGAGCGGAATGGATCATGTTGGAACTGGCCCAAAAACCAGAAGCGAGGGGACTGGCCAAAGAACAACCAAGAGGGCCTCCCCCCCCTCCCCCCCACCCCCCCCCCCCCCCCCCTCCCCAGAAGCGACTCGCGGCCCAGGCCCAGTTCGGCTCCAGCGCCTTGCCAGCGGTCCCCTCGGAGGCCAATTCTTCGGTTTGGCACCAGCGGCGACTTATTGGGCATGGGTCAAAATGCCGTGGATGGACGAAATCCATTTCGCACCACTTTGAAGCCATAGAAAAGGCATTGTTCGTGGGTTTTTGCGGGGGAATCATCAGAAACCAGTTTTTTTTAGGTGGTGCAGGATTTCGTCCATCCACAGTAGGGGCGAGCCACACACACACACACTCTTATGTGTCCCCTTTGGATGCCTCGAATTGGGCTTTGAATTGTTCAGCGCTCATCCCCTGGCCATGGTAGGTGCTTCTCTTTTTTTGGGATAAAGGGACCTTTCCGTAGAACCAAAAGTTCATGGGTGACTCGCGGGTGCTGATGTTGGTGGAGTTTCCAGGCACCTGCGCCTTGAGCAATGGGAACCCGCCGATTTGGCTCAGCCAGATTCCGCTGCTTGGGCCTGTGTTCTGTTGGAGGCGAAAGGTACCCCTTTCAGGTTGAAACGGAGAGTTCATCAATTTGATGGTCCCCTTTGGCAGAGCAACTGGGCAACAGAGCTATTGTCTTGAGGGTGAAGGGTAACTCATACAGGCGTTCCTCATATGACCGCTTGAGAGATCACCCCACAAGAAAGGAGTTCATGTTTCACATATCACATTCTGCTCAACTTTGAACTCACCCTCCCAAATTCGGATTTCCGCTGACTCCTGGTCAGCAAAAAGATCGGGGAGGTTTTTCTCCGCTTCTGGTGGCTGGACTTGTGTCGCGCAACATGTCGCTGGACTTACGCCTGGGCAGCCGCCCTGCGCTGTACCCGGCCCACCCCATGGCAGTGCCCCGCGAGATGCGGTTTGGGTTTGGGGGGCTGGAGGCGGCGGTGGCCCAAACAAAATAACATATGTTTCATGACAATAACAAACAAACTAAAAAAAGAAAGAATCAAACAACCCCATGTTGGTGGCTTGGATTTGTGGTTTGGATTCGGATTTGAACCTGTGGTTCTTGTGCAGGGTTGACTGGGAACCCCCCTGTCAAACCCCCAATCGAAACCAGCAATTGGAAGGAAGCTGAGAAATGGGGGTTTCCCCTTAAAACCAGCCAAGAAGGGCTTTCCTTAGAACCGACACCACCCATTGCTGAGGGGGGTGGTTGATTTGGCATTTTGGTAGGTTCGGTTTGTAAAAACCAACAGTCCGTGGGCGAAACGGGCACTCAAATGAGTTGGACTTGTTTGGTTTTGCTTTCCTGAAATCGAGGCCCAACCCTGAGGGCGGCTAAATTTGGGTGTGGGGTTTTGGGAAGCCTCAAGATATCAAGGCTCCTGGGGGTCCCCGGCTCCCGCCCGCGCAGGCGCGTCCGGACGCGCGGGAGATCCGGCGGCTGCGGGAGGAGGGGAACTGTCCGCTGCCGAATCGCCTCTCGGCCACCTGTGGGTCTTTGAGCGCTTCCCCGCGGTCCAGGGAGTTTGTGTCCGTGAACACCATCAGGCGCGCCGAAAACAACAGGCAACAAAGCGGGAGGGGGGGGAGGGGGAGGGGGAAGGGGGGGGAGGGGGAGGGGGAAGGGGGGGGGAGGGGGAAGGGGGGGGAGGGGGAAGGGGGGGGGAGGGGGGGAGGGGGAGGTCTATTGACAGTTGGTTTTAAACGCTTCCCGCTTCCCGCTTCTCGGCCAGGGCCAAGCGTGATTTTTGGGCAGGCACCGTCGTGCGAGAAAGCATCCGCCTGCGCAGCCGGACTTTCAAAGGGTCACAGGGAAGGAACCAATAGGCAATGAAGTGCAATTCGAGATTCTAAGCCCCAAACCTCATGCAGGGAATGGAAGAACGTGGCAAGGCTTCCTTAAACGCTTGGTTCCTTTTCGGCCGGAACAGCTAACAGGAGAATCTTGCTTCTAAGACACTTTTCGTGTTATGAACAACACGCTTCAGAAGCTCCAGTCATTTCTTACGCGATCCAAGCCTTCTGGCGCAACAGCTGGGCCCTGTCCGAAGCGCCAGGGACAAGATCCGGAAGCACGTGCGATCTCCCTGCAGCCCAATCGACAAGTACAACCTCGGAGCGGCGACTTCTCATGAGATCGGGTGGCATGTGGAGACGCCCAGCGTGCTGCGAAAGCCGCGGTTTGGCATCAAGGAGTCGGAGACCACGCGCTTTGCGCACAACATGAAGGCCACTCGCTCGGAAGTGGCGCTGCGCTTGATTCTGCCCTGACGAAGTCATGGCGAGGTTTCGCTGACCATCGGCCCGAGGCCTCGGAGCGTGCCTGTGGAGAGAAAAAGGCGCCACCAGCTGCCAGAGCGGCGTGGGCACTTTCCATTGCTCAAACCAGACCTGGGGAAACAAACGTCAAGATGTTTCCCTTATCATGGATGGGGTTCATGAAGTGACACTCCATGGCGCAGGCTTCCGCCGCCCGGACCCCAGCAAGCCAGCAAGTCAAGGTGACCTGGTGCTTTCGTTCCGTGTGGGTATGGGTCAAAATTTCACCAGCAAGGAACCACAGGTTTTAGTCCATGTTTCCAGTTGCCAGGGTTCCATATGTGAGGCTAAGTCACGGGCCGATGTGCCAAAGCCCGGCATGCCGCGCGCCTGCCTGGTTTGGTCGGAAGCTGGTTGATTCAGCTGCTGAGGAACAGCAGGGATGAGTTCGGACACTCCAGAGGTCTGTTCGCTTCAATGGGTCAACGGGAAAGGTATCCCTTGCCATGACTGTTGGTCTTCATTGCTTGCAGGAATGCAGGGGTTGACCCTATGTCGTGTCTGGGATTACGTCACGCGCTTGGCAGCTTGCCAGGTCCATTCCCACGGGGAGCAACAGCTTCGCTGGGGGCATGGGCAACATGGGCAACAGCCTCACTGGCAGCAACAGCCTGGCTGGGGACGCGCTCTTCAACACCAAAGGAAGCACCCAGCTTAGCACAAGCAACGGGGAAGCTGTCAAGGAGAGATTCGATTCGTGTTGGTTTGACCCAAAAAGGAAAAAACAACACACCTCGGTTTTTTGGGGAAGGAGCTGTTGCACCTGGTTGTTTCTCCAATGTACTACTTTGTGCTGTGGAAGTTACAAGCTAGCAGCCTCTTGCAAGTGAGGCTTCAAAGGAGATGGGAGCCACGGCAGCCATCCGAACTCTGGCAGAAGGTGGGCACTTTGTTGCTGACGTCTCTGCCAAAAGTTGACGTCTCTTTTTGTGTGGGTTGAGTGGAACACAAGAAGCTAAAATATAAAGATACAACCCACCAGCAGTCAAGGTTAGAATGGCCTACCACCAATTAACTACTGATCCGCGGATATCCGCAACGCAACTGTCCCTAACCTTCACTTTCCCGGGTTTTGACGGCTCCGGCGTCCTTTCGGTTACCTCTCAAAAGATACCCCAATTAAAGTTAGCCCAAGAACCAACTCCCAGAGAAATGACCTCCCCCGCTCACCTTGGACCCCCCCGAACCGTCCGGCCGGTTCCCTTTCAGGCCATCGGGGTTCGGTAAGGAGAACGCCGGCGGCTCCAAAGGCGCGACTTTCGCGACGCGACGTGCGCGACGCGGTCCGTTGGAGCCGTCAAAAGTGGGATGCGAACCAAACGTGTGGAGAGCCTCAGAGCACCCCCCCGCCCCCAAACAGATAATTTTTTTGAGTACGGATTTTCGGAGTTGACATTGGATCCCAGCCGAAGTTTGGTGCGGAAAACCGCCCTGACTCTTTGCCGTAGGTTTTGGGTAGACCACATACCAGGTTTTGACTACGACTCACTGGCAAGGCTTCAACCTGCCTCCGCTCTCCATGGCTCCGGAAGGCGGGCGAGCGGAGTGGACACAAATCCCGACATTCGATGTCCACCAACGGGTACTCAATCAAAATCTTAAAATCCCCCCACCCGTTTTTCCACACCCAGTGCGGGAAGCATATATTTGGACCATGGCTCGCTCGCACCGGGCCAGGTCGCAAAAGCTCCGGCACCGGCAAGAAAAGCAGGAGCCCCAGAAAGCCCCATTGTTGCTCCGGCTGCGCAGCTTCTGTGGCTGGTCTAACGATTCATTTCCGGCCCATGCTGCAAGACATCTTGGCGGGCTTTGGCCTTTTTCTCCAGTATGTCAAGGCAGCGGCTTCCAAGTAGTATGCATGATATATACGTATATATATATATATATTTCTACACTTTTTACATATGTGTACACATATATCATGTATATAGACATGTAAAATATGTTTTGAGGGATGCGTAGGAAAAGATGTCCGAAGGTCCCGGCGCGCGATACCTGAAGATGGCACGCTATCAGCCAGGCACGGAGCAGGGGCCGTGACTTAATCGCTCCAGCTGCGGGCAATTGTCCAAATACAGACCCACACAATGCTGGCGGTCCTTTTGGCTTGCAACCAACCTGAAAGGGTACCCTCAATGCAAACATGTCGGATTTGTTCAAGATGCATTGTTCCACCTTGGCGTTCCATGTATGTCAACAAGCGTGCCCATGTCTGTCTCCTCTTGCAAAGGGTCGAGTGCCCAGGCTGGACCAAGAAGTCGAAGACGTCATGTGGTTTGCATGTTTTGCCCGCTGCATTTGGCTCCTCGGCTCGCCTTCACCTTTCAGCAACGGTCCTCCTTCGCCCTTGCTACTTGGCTGTCAGCTCCTGCCAAGCCTCTTGGGGGGGGGCTTTGGCTTGCTCGCATGCCTACAATACAAGCCAAACTGAGATGTGAGGTTCGATTGTCAAGCACATGCCTGCACCGAGGTGTTGCAGCACAAGCATGTGGTTCGCAAAGACTGCGATTGCTGCTCGGCATAAAACGCCCTATGAGCCAGGAGATGCCCAAATCGGAACTTGTGGGACCTTTCCTGTTTTAGACACTGCATGTGACCGTGCCTGTCGCGAGGCCATATGGGCAGCTTGGCAGAGAAGGACAACAGAGAGTTGGGGGGTGTTTCGTGGAGCCCTTTTCGGGCGGTCAGGTTTGGGAAGCAGGTTGGTTTTCTCTTCGTTTGGGAACTCGTCCTGGAGTTGAGGTTGGTGCGCTATACGCGACTGGGCAGAGTTTCATCGACCAGAAGGACAGAGATTTGGCCTCCAAGGCGAACACCAAGGCGAGAACTTCTCAGAGCGCTAGGAACCCGCTTGTCACACATCGGACCGGGAGGGTGAAGGGTGGTTTCTGATGGCAGGCGCTGGAATCGTGTGCTCTAGCGGTCGACCCAGTGCCTCGGCGCGAGTTGGGAGTCTCCGTGAATTTCAATTGTTAGACCCAAGCCACCAAAAGATTTGCTGGGTATAAGCCTCCAAATGTCTGTCTCCGAGTGAATCGAAGTTTCCATTCTCCCAAGGTTTGTGCTTTCTTTTAAGGGCTTCGGGTTTCTCATGGGTTTTCCTGACATTTGTCCCTTCTCCTCGGCCGTAACGGGCCCAGGACATCGACGCGGAGGAGCGGGCGAAGCGGAAGGAGGACCTCGTGAAGGCTTCGGCGGCGCCTGTGAAGTGATTCAGTTTACATGGGACGACCAGGGAAACCGCCCAGAAAGGATGATGGTTCTTCGCTAAATGGACAAAGCTGGCCATGATTGTGTTGGGCAGGTGTATTGATCAACCCTCAATTACAGCCATGAAACAGCTTTTTAAGTTTTCTCTAATTTGTAGTTTGGATTGGTTAAGATAGGCTTACAGGACCCCCCCTGGCTTGGTTTGGATTAGTTGTTTGGATTTGGATTTGAACCCCTGGCTTTTGTGGAGGGTAAATGGGAAGGAACTCAATTGAAACCGATTCGGGTAGATGAGGTTGCGGACAGTCCCGGCCAGAAACAGCTGCCGCCTTTGTATTTCCTTACAGGGTTTTGGGTGGACCTTTTTTTCTGCCGGGTTTTGATTGTGACTCAGGTGGACTTCAGCAATTCTACAACCCAGTAGTTTAGCGCACTTCCCAGGGTTTTGTGGTTGGGACGTCCATGTTACCTGCCAGTATGTGGGGACAGCAACCAAACCTCCATTGGCCATTGTAGCAGGTGCTTCTGCCTGTTCAGAAAGTCAGCGAGCGGGTGAAACGTACTACATCTTCAAGTGGTGTAGCCTATATGACTGAATCTTAATGGGGAACCCCCTGAACAGTGGTTGTCGGACAGAAATCCCCACCTAATGATGTCCACCCTAATTAAAAGTCAGGCCCATATAAAACCTTGGCCACGTTAGAGTCCAGAATCAAGGGGCTTTTGGTTCTCAGCTAGCTCGGGCTGTTTTTCTTGCACAAGGTTGCAACAGTCCCCCAGCCGTGAGGGACATTTTGAGGATGGCAAATGTAAACACCCAGTCACGGGTTTCGGAGTTCGGTATGGGGACTGTCCCAAATTGGTGCAAATATCCCTCCATCGATTCTTTTTCATTTCTTTTTTAGTAGACCCCTCCAAGAGTGTGGATTTGTCCAATGGTTGGTTTTCGGCCTCCAAGCGTGCTTGCCGTTGTTTGTGCAAGTGGCCGTCCAAGTTGGATGGGTCTTTTTCGAGGGTCTCCTTTGTTTACGTGGTTTGAAGGAAAAGGGACACAGACACCCAATTCGGCGTGCCCATTTTTAAATCCATTCGATCCAAGGACAACATCATCCTGCAGCTTGGCAGCAGCAGTGACCATTGGTTTGTGGGCATTTTTGGTTGGTCAGTGTTTGACGCGAGCCAACAGGAACACGCAAGTTTTAGGGCCTGTTTGAGCCACAATAAAGCCCGGGTAGGGTCCCAAAAAGGGGCGGCAAGCTGTCCGAGCCTTTGACGTGGCGCTATGCATTTTGGGAAGGCCTCTTCGGATGCCCGAAGAAGCTCTAACAAAGGGCTTTCGATTGGACAGGGCATGGACCCCAGAGGTGACCCCATAGGACCCCATATGCACCAGGTGTATGAATCCATTTGTTGGACCCCATAGGATTGGATGTCTCGGTCAGGAAGATCTTGAAGGATTCCACGAGCCCCGATGACCTGACAGTTCAGATGCAGGCGTCCGGGTGTCCGGGTGTCCGGGTGTCCGGATCGCGTAGCTCAGGTGGCTCTAAGGCCAAAGGCGGTTGAGTTGTTCAAAATCCACTGATCCTTGATGCCAGATGGTTGACTCATTACGGATTAGGGAGAAGGTATTCCCTTCGGCGCCCAATTTGACGCATCGGGCGCATCTCCAGGATCAGGCCTTGAATCCCAGCTTCTTGCTGTTCCAGGCGCAAACCGATGGGATGTCCACGTCTTGGTCGGCGAAAAGCGGCTCATGGCGGCAGTTCCAGAAACTCTGCAGGCGGGGCCTCTGCTCGCTTTCATCTTCTTCCTGGTCGTCTACGTCCTGTACTTCTGCTGGGCGCCGTTGCCCTGCTGCTGGTGTTGCGCCGTGGCAAAAAATGGGAAACAAAACATGTGGGTGATGCCTAAGGCATGTCGGTGGCCGTGGGCCGGTTTTTTCCGCATCTTTTGGGCGGATTTTGCAGAACCAGTTGCAGCTTGGTTGGCTCAACTGCATCTTGTGCGTGCAAGCACGTGCCGCTTGGTGAACATGGCTGAGGTTCCAGGATGCTTGGCCGCATCTGAGAGCTTAAAGTCAGAGCGCCTCATGCACCTACAATGCTATGCATTTCGTTACCAAGGAAGCGCAACTGCCCAATGGTGTTGAAGCCTCTTGGTTGCAACTGAAGCAGATGTTGACTGTGACAAAACAGTGCTGCTTTCAGTGTATTTTGCTTGCCTGCCAGGTTCGTCTTCATCGTCTTGATTGGAGGCCAGCTTTGTGCTGCTTGTTTGTCCACGGGATGACCTGGGTTTCAGGAGATTGTGCTCAGTTTCCAAGAACTCCACCTGAAGGAACGTTTTGATCTACTCACCTCGCACACTTCTTCTGATGATTGAAGGCTGCGTGATCTCCCGCAAAAGAACTATGGGATTTGAACCGGTTCTTGTAACGACTCACCTCCAAATCACAAAGTCAAACCACCCATACTTTGTGGACAGACGAGGCCGAGTGGCCTAAGTGGTTGGCCCATGTTCATTCGAGCTGAAACAAAACTCGCAGGCATCATCCTGGGGCTGATCATCGCCGCGGCCCTGTCCATGCGGGGCTTCGACTCGGCAGTGAACGGCTTCGAGAACACGCAGTGCGCTTTGCTCGGACTCCGGGAGCCACAAATTTGGGCCGAAGGGGACACCCAGCGTGGGGCTTGATCCATCTTCCATCTAGGACAACACCAGTTTTGGCCACGGGTAACGTTTCTCTCATGTGGGAATCGTTGTTTTTTAGTGGTTCTCCGTAGTGGTCATCCCATGTATCTTGGACCTTTGGATCAACGAGTTGGTGCTTTTTTTCTTCGCCACTCCCGCGTCTCTCGCGGCGCCGGATACACGGGAAGTGGCCGCATACGCCGGAGGCACCGCGGCGCGGCTGGTGAACAGCACCATGGCGGGGAATTCGGATCCCAAGTTCCTGGGGGTGATCCGCACCCTGGAGATCTTTCAGGCGAGACGTTCCTCCCAAGTTGGGCGGAGTGGTTGGAGAGTGGTTGGGGTTGGGTTGGTTGGTTGGGGGATGTTTTTTCTGCAAAGGGGCGAGGGGTTGGGCTTGGGGTTGGGCTTGGGGTTGGGCTTGGGCTTGGTTGGTTGGGGGATGGTTCTCCCGCGACAAGTCCCAGAAGTCCCGGCCTTGGCTGAAGATGCTGAACCCGCATGTGTGACTGGTCATCGTTGCTGTGGGTAGAAAGGCGTGCTGGCTAGCGCCCTTCGTCCAAGCCGAATCCCCCCCATCTCCTCCTCAGCCGATTCTTTTGATACATGCACATAAAGTGGTGGCCAGGAGCTGAAAGATTCCCTGAACACTGGCTCCTCTTTCCTGAACAGCCTCACCGCCATCTTGACCAACACCAAGCCCATCTCCGATTCCGTGCTCGTGGCCTCCGAGACCATGTGCCTCGGGTTATGAAGTTATGTTTGTGTCGGTAGAGTGGACCGAAGGAAGGGGTCCCGAACATGGCCATGGCTATGAAGCAGCAAGATGTGGTTGGTGGACGATCCGCACTGAATTCTGTGCACAGGGAGTGAAACACTTTGGGGTCAAGGAATGGAACCCTCTTTGGACAAAACAGGTCTCAAGACGTCCACTGTTGCCCCACGCTCGGGTCACAGGACCAACATCCAGCTCATGCTGTCCGACTCCGCGAACGTGAATCCCATGAATTCAGGACGGGATGTCTCCAGATCTGCGCTGATGTCCCACCTGGACTTGTCCTCGATGGTTGGCAAGCTTTTTCTATCCCCTACAAAGGCACCCTGGTGCGGCCTGCC